CCCCCATAGTTACATCCTGAAGGAAAAGCAAGGGGGAGAGAGTTATTAGCAATGCTTGCCTCAATCATTCTATTAAGATAGTCTATAACAAGGAGGAAAATGTTGGGTTTATGTGGTCTTTAAAGGCCTTATGAGTGCTTGTAAAATGAAATGATATAATGGAACATGAACTCAGTGGGAGTGTGGTCCCTCATAGACCATACCAAGCAAACGATATTTGCTGATATTGAACTATGCTTGACGATCTAGGCCAGTCGGTTGGGAAAAACTCATGTTACCTGAGCATAGAGAACAAATCGAGAAGGGTTCTAATGGGTCATCCCTTGATGAAGTCGAAGCATATGCCTAGATGAGTGAGCCGAGGGACTGTGTAACCCTTGTGTGTCTTGGTGGTCTACAAAGACGGGGCCGAAACCTCATCCATGTGCCATCACACGGCATGCATATTGATAGATCATTTGGAAAAGCAAGTAAGTCACTTTTTAGGGTGAAGCGTATGCATGTGCGAGAGATACCCCTATGCACCATAGGAGTTGTGGTCGCATCAGGTCTAAGTGACATTGACTCATCTCTAGGGGAGGACCTAATATCCACAGACTGGGATTGCAACCCCTTGGTTCATCGGCCAGACTTTGGGGACTCGCTAATGAGCCCTTGCTTAGACTGTGGGTCATGGGAAACACTGGGTCGGTCTGGTAAAGCAAGTGTGGTTTGTAGTCCACAGTTGACAGTGGAGTGCCCCATGATTGTTTATTTAATTCCTAAACCATATGGATGATTTTTCCATCAAATTAATTTAATATAGTTTGTTTTATGATGGAAATTATTTTAGAATTATTATTTGAGTTTTTATGAACGCTTGGATATTTCATTTAAATATATTGATTTTACAATGGTTTAAATATTCAAATAATATTCTAAAATATTTTTATTAATTTTAAATATATAAAAATATCATGGAGGCTCATTATGCACATGGGCTCATCATATTTCTAGAAGGTGGAGCCCATGAGTGCCTCCCTTGGATGGCATGCCCACCCTTATTCTCTTTCCCATTTTTGTGGTATCAACTATACGATAGCACTCGCCATGGATGATACGATTACCTGATATGGTATGTGGCCATATGGTTGGAAGATATTGACTAAATATTGACTTGATATATCTTTGAAAGAATTTGTGGAAAGATTTAGTAGACTTGTGCTATTTTATGGTATGCACAATATTTTGATTAGATTTAATTTATTTAATTTTTATTGATGAAAAAATGGTTTAGAAAATATGGATAATAGTTCATGCACATTCCATAATGTTGATGGTCTATCTATGAAATGGATGGCTCAAATCTCTCACCCCACAAGTCACCTAAGATCAATGGTCCATATTCAATCTTACAAGAAGAGACAAGCCAAAGAAAACCCCAAGAAACCCTAATCTTATTCAAATCCTATAAAAATGGATTGTCTTTACCCAAAAATCTCTACACCTTATCTCTTGTACCTAATTCACATCTTCTCTTTCATATCCCACAAAGGGGCACGCCCCACTTAAAATTTCTCTCTCCCCCTTAAGAAAAGTTTCTCTCTGTCTTGAAAGCCAAAAAAGGGGGCACATCTCACTCTCTCATCTTTGAGATCTCTCTCTTTCACACATTGTAAAAAGGGGCTAAGGGTTTAGGCTATGAGGTTATTCTCTCTCTTATCTCTCAACTATAGATTTGTAACTAAAGGGTTTAGGGTGTAGCAAAAAGAGAATCCATCTATCTTAAACTAGGTTGCTAAGAATTCAATTAGGGTTTGAGTTTATAATCAAATGGGTTCATGTTATATTGGTGTGGCTTGGCCTAAATTTGCTTTCCCAGTTGAGATTGAAGGTTAATCATTGATCCCGCGCCATCGGATGTTGGTGACTCAGTGTGGGGTATAATAAGCCTAGTTGAGGTAATCTCCGGCATCCTCTCTTTTGTTTCTTGCTAGATTTAATTATATTGGTTTTATATTCCCAAGCATAAGAATTGTGGATACTTTTTTTGTTTAAAGAAAATTGGTTTAATAACATCAAGGTTTTTAAGATCTTGGATTTGTTAGTTTAATTTTCTTTGAAGCAAGAGTTATTGTAATAAGACTAATTCTAAGTGATCTTTGCCAAAAAAAAAGAAAAAAAAGAAGAAAAGGGGTGAAAAGAAGAAAAAAAAAAAAAATTTCCGGCAAGATCGCATTAGTCTTTCTTTCAAAAAACATATAGGGATAGTGGGTCTCCTTATCTGAGGCCCCTCTTGCCAATAAAATAGCCTATTGGGGATCCATTGTGCAGGATAGAGAAGGAGGGTGTGGTAATGCACTGTTGAACCCATGTGATGCAATTATCTGGAAATCCCATAGCATGCAGTATATCTGATATAAATCTCCATGAGACCCTGTCATATGCACTGTTAAGGTCTAGCTAAAGACACATATTTAGTATGGCTGAGTTTTTGTGGTATAAGGAAATGAGCTCGTTTGCCATGAGGATATTATCAGTGATCAACCTTCCCCTAAAGAATGCGGCCTGGTATGAGTGAATAAAATTGTCAAGTACCCTCTTCAACATGTTCGCAACAATCTTGCTTATGATTTTATAAAAGACATTGCATAGTCCAATAGGTCTAAAATCCTTCATAGTTGTAGGGCAGGTGATCTTGGGAATCAACCATATGAAGGGTGAGTTTACCTCCTTAAGGAACTTGCCTTTACCAAAAAAGTCTTTTTGCGCACTCAAGAGATCGGCCTTGATAAAATCTCAACTAAACTTGTAAAATTCCACTCTAAAACCATCTGGTCTTGGAACACTCTCCAATTTCATGTCCCATATGCACTCTCTAAATTCCTCTATGGAGATGTCCTTTGTTAATGCCTCACATTGCAGTTGTGTGAGTTGCCTATCTGGAACGAAGTCATTAGCCGCAGTGTTTTAAAAATCGGCGAGTCGCAACGGACTCGTCCGAGTCGAATTGGTGACCCCGTGTCGATATATGTGTAAAACTGAGGAGCAGAATTGCCGGTTCTGCACAGTACGTCGGTTCCGAGTCGAATTGGTGACCCCATGTCGATTTATGTGTAAAACTGGGGAGCAGAATTGCCTGTTCTGCACAGTACGTCGATTCTAAATAGTGAACTGCCCGCATGGCATCATAAATAGACAAGAACACCGGCCTGAACCGCCAGTATGATACGTCATAAACAGGTGAGAACCGCCATTGTGACTTGCATCACCGTGCACTGCACGCTGCGCGTGTGAATAAATCTCGCGTACGTCACGCGTGTGCCACATGACGTCATAAACCGGTGAGAACCGCCATTGTGACTGACATCACTATGCACCGCACGTGTGAATAAATCTCGCGTGCATCGTGCGTGTGCAAAAATCTCATGTGCACTACACGTGGTTCTCGCCTCAAGTTAATTTTCAAGAGCACTGATGTTCCAATTATTTATATAACCATTGTTTGTCCCACCTCTCTTCGACGTGGGACAATTCTCAATGCCCAACTTTGAGATCTTAAATCAATATATTGATTTATTATAGCATAACTTGTAAAACGTGGTGATGTGGGGAGTTGGTTATCACGTTGGATATTATATAGGAGGTTTCAGGTTTGAACATTTGTGGTGTTAACATTTTTTCTTTTGTCAAATGTCATAAAAAATGGTTTTTTTTTTTATCAAATAATGTCACAAAAAAAATGTGTTTTACTTTTGTCTTAAATAATGTCATAAAACATAATATAAAGGAAAAAAAAAAAAATAAAGAGGAAGAAAATAATGTCATAAAAAAAGAAAAAAAACGTTTTATTTTTATCTTTCAAAAAAAATAAAAGGCAAAAAATAATATCATCAAAAAAATAAAAGGAAAAAAATAATATAAAGGAAGAAAATAATGTCATTGAAAAAGAAAAAAAGTGTTTTATTTTATCTTCCAAAAAATAAAACGAAAGAAAAAATATCATTACAAAATAAAAGGAAAAAATTAAAATAAAAGATAATACAACATGCATTTCTTGTCAAAAAACAATTTATCTTCTAAAAAAAATAAAAAGAAGAAAATAATGTCATCAAAAAAATAGAAGCAAAAAATAAAATTAAAGATAATACAATAATTCGAGATTTTGGTGGCCATTTTTTCATCGATTTAATCCATTTTTTATTGTAGTCCATGTATGATTATATATTTTATCTATGATGATTCTATGATTTTTCTTTTATGTAATGTAAATTTAATGATTAACATAAGTTCAAACAGGGAAAGAACATCTCAATATTCGCAAATTGATGAAAAAAATGAAATAATAATGTAGTACCCCTATTTCTTATTGGATTCCTAAAAAACAATATTTATAATAAATTTTAATAAATTTTTTGGATTTTTTTGAAAGCTTAATTGGACCGATTTAGCCGATTCTTGATTTGGATCGCCGATTCACCGATCCGAATGGATTTTTGGAGAGACCGATCCTGGGCACCGATCAATTTTTTAAACCATTGGTTCTAGGGGCTCGGAGCTCCTCAAAGTAAGAAACGATATGACTTTCAATGGCTTTAGGGTCTAAAATTTGAGTGTTGTTGGAATCATGAAGGAAAGTAATTTTCTCATGCTACCTTCTAACAACATAGGACTTATGGAAGAATTTTGTGTCCCCCACTTTAAGCCAAATTTCCCCTGATTTTGTCTCCACATACATTCTTCTTATGCTAGGTACTGCTTTTATTAGGATGTAAGTTGGGCTTCTTCGATGTTAAGAGCAATGTCATTGGGGTTTTTCAACTAGGATTTTGTTATGACCACCTTAGACTTTGTTAACATCATACCGCCTTAAACCTTTTAAAAAATGAGGTCTAAACACATTTAAACCTTAAAAAAATGATGTTTAAATGGGTAATTGATGTTACCATGATGTTTAAAAATACTGGCTCAGAGATAAATTTGTCAAAAAAATAAAAAATTTCAAGCGGTCCGTCCTTTCGAGTAATAACGGACGTAAATTTCCCTTCTTTTTTCTCTAAATAATAACTCAAATATGGGATTGCTCATTATTTTGTGTTTTTTCGAAGCCAAGGTTCATTGCTCATTTAGGTTTGGATCTTAATAATTGATCGATTGGATTCCTCACCTCCCTACTTCCATCATTGTTTCTACCCATTTGCAGTGCCAGGTCCACGAGAAAAAACATAGATAATCCCTACTGGTAATTTCATGAACCCTAGTTTAGAGAGAGAAAGCTGTTTGTTTTTGTTTCCTTCTGTGCGATAAACTGTTACAGAGAGAGAGAGAGCTCTTTCCTTTTGTGCGCTAAACGAGAGAGAGAGGGGGCTCTTTCCTTTTGTGCGCTAAACTGCCGAGTATATATCCATTATTGCGGGAAATTTTGAATTAACTGGTTCTAGTCTTTGATGTTCATGTTGGGCACCTTCTAAACTCTTGATTTAGGTAACGTGATTTTTGCTCAGATTCGGAAGACAAGTTGGGGTTGAAGGGACAGATTCCCTTCTCTCTACTTTACTGGTATGGGTAGCCTCTTCATTGCTGTTATTACTATTTTTATTATTGAATTTCATGTATCATCATCTTCTTCTTTATGATAATTATCATTCATAATATTGTTGATATATTAACACTCACAGTATTGCTGATTGGTGTTATTTTTCTCACTGTAACTGTTTATTATATGGGCAGTGCGCATTTGGAAAATGCCAGACGTGCAAGCTTCTGTTAATGAGTTAATCTCCAAGCTAAAGAGACGGTCTGTGCTTACTGTTTTACTGCAATTTTAATAAATATAGGATAATTTTATTTTTCATGTGTTCTCTTCTGTAATTTCTAGGGTTTACTATTGATGTTTATCACGTTATTATTATCATGTTGTTAACTTATTAGTCTTATTATGATTGATTGATAATTGTTTGATTAATTGATTGTTACTGTTTTGTTTTTGTTGTTGCTGTTGTTTGTTGGTATTTCCATGTTAATTTTACAAATTTTTTGCATTCATTCATTATTTCCGATAATGGGTAACAGTCAAGTCGAGGGATCGCATGCTACTGCAAAGGAAACCGCCATTCTACTTCGAACAGTGGTTTCACAACATCGGGGGCCCAATGCTAACCAGGCTTCATCGTTTATTGATGCCGTAAAGGCAGTAGGATCACAGCTGATCACTGCAAACCCTGTTGGTATTCTCTCTTAAATGATGTCATTTTCTCTCTTAAATGATGTTGTTTAACTTCATTTGCTTTTGTTTGGCCTAATTTTGTGATAGTTGATGAATACTAAGGTTTTTAAAGGATTATCGTTGTTGGAATTATCTTGGGTTAAAGAACACCTTTACTTTTCTTGGTATATATATCTTTGTTGTATGCCCCTTGTTTATGTTGATGCATATCCTTTCCTGATACGATGAAGTGCCATGTTTCGAAGTGAAATCACGCAGATTTTATTTTTTATTTTTTTGATAGGTGATAATCTTAAAAGAGAAACAAAAAGAGATGAAAGGACCTGAAAAGGAAGGCCTTGCAGTGGCATTTGATCCAATTTGAATTGTGTCAGGTCCCTCAAAGGGACCCAAATATACATTTCAGGAAAAATCCTTTTCTTCTTCTTTTGTTGGCTCAAATTCAACTCAATGAGACACACAATATTCACTTGACATGTGAAAACTCCTCTTTCATTTTCAACCATCATGTCTAAATCAATTACCACATCATTTATTATATGGTGATTGATGCTCTCGGTGGCCATGTTTGGATCAAATAACTATGGAACTTTTACTCTTTGACATATTCGTGAAATGAATTTAAAAGTTTCTTACTTTTAAGCATATTTCCATGTTTGTCTCAATTTGTTGCAACTTGGCTATACGCTTTCCCTTCATGTCAATGGAATATTACTCATCAAACAAAATTGAACAAAAATTTGAGTTGCAATAGGGTATTTGACTATTTGTTGGTTCGACAGAGCTAGCAGTAGGTAACATAGTGAGGCGTGTTCTGCACATAATCAGAGAAGAGGATCTTTCTTTGGCAACAACTGGTATTGGGGGTTTGAGTGTTTCTGCTGGAAGTGACGATGATGACGAGACCGATCGGAATGGTCGCTTGATGCTTTCTGCTGCCTCTGTTGCCGCTGCTTCCAGGAGTGCCTTGCGTGCACCATCCTTGCATACGCTTCTTGAAGACCTCCCTGACCAGTCGGGATCTCACCATACAAGTTCTTCAGGGGGAGACTCTGAAGGGAAAAGCAAGTGTAAGCCTACTTTTCCTCTCTATCTCTCCTCCCCCCCCTCCTCTCTCTCTCCTTGTGAAACACACACATACATGCATGCATCTCATACACAACCATCCATGTGAAGATAGATGCAGATTGTATGTGGCAGTTTATACTCTATTGTAGAAATAACTGTTAGTGAAGACTAGTCTATGATGTATGCATTGGACAAAAAATGTGGAAACAGGCTTAAAATACTGAAACCTTGAAATACAATTTTATGAAACAACAACTGGGATGAATAGAGAATACAATAAGATTTTTTTTTTTTTTTGAGAAAAAGGTGACGATATATTATAAATGTAGTATTGTTACAAAAAATCCTCATGAGGAGTAAGGTGTCATGGCTGCCCACAGACTGGGTGCACGTTTACAAGAAGTTTAGGTAGAGAAGAGGAAAGAGGAATAGAGTGCTTGGGGGAATATAGAGTGAGAAGAGTGTGGGAGTTATGTTTGAGGGAAGCAGGGGGCTGCTGAAAACCCCTGCAAAAAGGAAACTCCTTAAGGAGGAGGCGCTATTATAAAATGTGCTGTCAAAAAATCATGCTGTTCAGAAAAAAAGGGGTGAGGGGAGGAAGCAAGAAAAGGGGTGAGGAAAAGAAGAAGAGAGAGAAAAGGAGGGGAGAGAGGGAGGGAAAAAGGGAGAGGACTAGAGTAGGCCCAGTGTAAGAGGGCAAGAATGAAAACCATGAGAAAAGGGCAGCCCACATACCGGGTGCCCAGGGAAGAAGGGGAAGGAGAGGCAACCCACAGCCTGGGTGCTTAGACAATAGAAGTAGAGGGGTAGAAGGTGGGAGTAGGGACAGCCCACATACTGTGTGCTTAGACAGAGGAGATATAAGCGATAGAGAGATAGAAAGAAGGGAAGGAAGAAGGGGGGCCTGGCGGGGTAGGCTGGGCGCTCGGACCATGGCAACGGAGCTGAGCATCTCCGAAAAACCACCTGCAAAATGGTAAGAGCAAGGGAGGGGGCATTGAAGAGAGAAAAGACAGCGAGAAGAGCGAGAGAGAGGAGAGTGAGAGGAAGGGGTGGGGGAGAAGAAGAAACAAGATAAAGAGAGTGAGAGAGGAATGAAAGAGAGGCGAGAGAGTGGAATTGAGAGAGGAAGCACACATTAGTTCAAAAAGAGAATTTGTTAAAGGAGGGTTCCTTTGCAAGGAGTCTCTTTCCTGGGCTAGCGATGCATTAGTGCTAGCCTCCTGCTAGATATGAGGAAGGCGACTTGAAGAGGGCCCTGCACAAGTGGTGAGGCACCATGGATAACATGCAAAACCTATTAGCCCATTGGATAACGTTGTAGCTGTCCCCTTCCACAATGAGTTCATAGACCTAGGAGGGGTCAAATCTTGAGAGACCTTCAAGTAATGCATTTGCCTCTGCCCAAGTGGAGATAGCCATTGAATACAAATATATATTGTCACAAATTGTGTGAATCATTGCCTCAAATAATTTTAAGAAAGTTAAGGATGATTAATTTGAAAAGAATGGATGCAAGTATCAGAAAATGTAGACATTCATTTTCATTCAAATATTAAAAATCACGAGGCCCATTTTGCTTGGTTCTTTGGACAGTTTTGAGTAGCATGATTAATTTGCATTGTTGAATTCCGATTACATGTATCAAAAGAAAAAGAAAAAAAAGGATGAACTAGAAGTATCTAAAAGAAGTACTTCACTACCATATGAAACTTGCCCACTTCATCGAACCTCTAATATCATAGGCAATTTCGTGCCATTTTAAATATGTCTAACACACTGGATTCTTATCAAATGAGCAGAATATATGGAAGAAGGATGAATTAGATTATTCTCAGGATCATAGGAAGATTAAAGTAGTTCCACAGATGAGATAAAAATAGCTGGAGAACCCATCAAGGAATTATCACACAAACATACACAAAAAAAAAAGAAGAGCCTGCGTTGAATAGTCGGCTCTCATCATTAAAGTTTCACATTGGTTGGATGTCTTTACTTATCAGTTTTTCTTGGTTCTCTGTTATTTGTTTAATTAAAGAAGTGGACGTTCCTAATACATGATATGTGCATTGTAATTTCAGTTGAATACCTTTCTCTTGTAAAGCTCAATAATGATAGTATTATGCAGTGCTAAAGGATATGACCATTTTTCTTTGCAGCTGCTGATAAGAATTCGAAGAGCTGGAAGTTGAAGCAGAGTGTTATTGAGGCAATCAATGAATTGATTGAGGACATAGACAATTGTCATGCACAAATTGCTGAACAAGCATTGGAGCACATACACCAAAAGTAACCTTTGCTTACTGCGTCAAGAATCAAATTTAGCTTTTTAGTCTTATCAAGCTTTACAAATGCCATGGCCAACTGATTTGTCGATAGGCTTGCTTTTGATTGTCACCTTGTTGGGTCAAGTTGCCCTTCCCTTGCTATCTTTTGATTCCTGAAATTAGTCAACCCTAAAATGTTTCCTTTCATTGTTATAAATTGAAAGTTTGGGAAGTTGCCCTGAAATTCTTTCAAAAATGAAAATTGCTTTAATACAATCAGCATGATAAAAAAATCTGCTTAAATTTATGATCATTTGTGATTTAAACTTATGCATGTATCTTGTAAGATGAGTTGCTAAAGAGAAAGGAACATTTTATATTTTGGATCAGGATACTTTACTAACTATACACTCTCTTCTTTATTTGTTAGTACTTCAACTTATGGATACGCACACACACAGAGACTTTGTACGAAATTTCTCCATGATGCATGGGGTATCATGACATCCTACAGATTGGGTGCTTTATAACTGTAATGGAAAGGAAGAATGAAATGTGGGACAGTAGGTCCCACTAGGGGACTGAGTCAGTGAATATGTGGTATGGACAAAAATGGTAGGTATACAAACAAAAAGAGTGGTGGCCTGAGGTGCCTAAGTGCTGCCTGTGATCCCCTCAGTTGCTCCTCTCACGACGAATTAGCATTGAGTTGGCTTCATGTCGAGTATGCTGGAAGGAGACTGGGAAATTGCTAATGGAAAATATTGTTATAAATATGAGCAAGTCACCAAGGACAAGGAGCTGAGTGGGAGGCCCAAGCATGACATCTTTTGAGTTCCCTTCAACTATGAGATGTCATCCTCGTGACAGGTTGAATCTCGTGATGCTTCGAGAACGGCCATTGTTGTGTCGACAGTCTCGATGAATCCTGAGAAAGAGAGGATTGTATATCCATGTTTGTATCTAAAAATTCCCCCAATAGTATTTGGAACCTACCAACTCAAATCTTACTTCTGAAATTGGGTATGCTACTCGTCCTTCTACGTAAATTACATTAAGTGTGCTATTGTCATTACAGAGCCTTGAAATTCCACAACCAACACCCTCCCTCCTCACCTGCAGGTTGTCTAGTAAATCTTCCAGAATATTGGCTTCCCTGATAATAGGATTAATCCATGTTCTAAACGATTGTTTCCCTGCTCAACAAGTGTGAAGTGTCTAATTTCCTATGAAGCTCTTGGCAATCCTTAGCCATCTAGATGCATGAAGCTGATGCTTTTCAATGATGAAAGCTTGCTGAAATTAGTGTAGGAAAACTTGGGCTAGGAGGGCTATTCACCCTGCCGGACCCTAACCAAACATATGGGAAACAGTTAAATTTTGCCAACCAGTATGATTTTTTTTTTTTCCGTAACTGCCTTTATAGAATTACACTCCTACCAATTGTGAACTTCTTATGAAGGTCATGATCATTAGGTGGACTTCAAACCTTGTGGTTTCTGCAGCAAAAATCATTAGAGAAATGAGTGACGAGAGAGAAGAAGAGAATTCTACCGCAAACACCCATAAAGGAATGATGCCACAACCTTCAGTCAAGAGAGAGAACCAGCAACGTGCGACATCGAAAGGATGATTGGTATTTTTGTTCAAAGTAAGTCTAAAATTCAGTCCATGTGAACGGCTTCATGTGCCTTCTTTTATACACATAAAAATGCAGATAATCGAGAACCCTAGTTCTTGTGCATTTTTGCCTCCAAGCTTCCAACCCCTCTAAGGAAACGCAAACCTGATCTAATTCCCACATTCCTAAGCATTGTATACGCAACCTTCATCAAATTCTACGATTCAAGGACTCCTGTGTACTCTCCAAGTGGAACAAAAAGATAAAACTAAGTAAATGATACATCCCTCAAAAATGAAATAATGTCCCCCTTCCCCTAAAATAATAATAATAATAATAGAGAAAGTCCAAATGAAGAAGCCAAATTGAAGCGATGGTTAATCCTTAACAGCATCACTCCCTCCCTACTGAAAATTACTCAACTGCGACGAGCTTGCTGCATCGTACTCTTCAAGAGTTCTCTTATTGGCAGCCCTCAAGTCAACTTCTAGAATCCATGTACTCTCTGGCTGAGGTTTTCCCATCCACTGAATGAGAAACTTTCTGATATTTTCCTTGGAATAAAAGGCACCAGAAATCGCCTAGGTGGTCAGTCCCTTGGCTGCCTAAGTGGCATTCTGGTCGCCTAGGCAGGTGAATCATATTTAATGCACTCCTAAAACTATGACAGTGTTGGGGAATGTTAAGTAAGATTTGATTTTGATACCAAACCCCCTTAACTATTATCTTTTAGTAATAAATAAATCTTTTTTTTGTGCTTCTATTGTATTGTGCACACATGCATGAGTTTGAAACTTGAATTAGTAGAAATTCAGAAGATTGAAACTTGCCCAAAAACTTAGTTGAAATAAAAGAACAATCACTTTAGTCATACAATATTGGGAGTATGGATATGTACAATGGGTCACTTTGGCCCTTGTGGATTGAACGGTTACATGCTATTCCATACAAACAAAGACAAGTCCTAGAAGGTCTATGAGCGCACTCCAAAAACACAAGAAAACAAATGTCAAATTGCGATTGAGATTCAAGTTCCACATCCTTCTCATAATCATCGCCTCCATCTCCACCATCTATCACTTGTGTTTGATGCCAAGCCCTCGATCAGAGTCACCCCCTCCTCGACATAGTGCTTTTCCTATCTCGTTTGAGTCAGCGTCCTCCACCTCTATTGATCTTCCTTGAAGATCTAGTAGTCACATGGGGCTTGATGAGCTTCCAGTGGGCCCACGAACTTGGCCCCAGCTCAAAATCTCTCTAGGGAACACCTGATCATCTCCAGCATTGATCAGCCAATCACTGAATCATCCATAACTCGCCAAGCAATAAAATTGATATGAAAGCACTCATAATAGTGCCTTTTCAACATTTGGTTGTATTGAACATATACAAGATTAATCAGTCTCTTCAAGTTTGGTTGTCGTTTCCATATGGTTTTTTTGGATAATGCATGAATGCATGATTTGTAATGAATAATGCAAGTTAGGGCTGCCCCTGCCCCAAGGCATATGAGGGCTTATTAGAGTTGGAGAATTTAAGTTAGAATTTAGAAATTAGCAATTGCAATGATCTAAAGTTGCATTAGCAACCAGATAAGTTGCAAGTCAGGTTCTTGCAAAGGGCCATCCTATGCAAGTTCTTGGCTTGTCACCATGTGTGTGTGACCTACCATAGAGCTCCATTATAAAAAACAGATTTATATAATACATACTTTATAACAGTTTTATAGTAGTGTGGTATTATTATATTTATAATTATACTTCTGATATACTATTATGCAAATCAAGTACTCAAAACACAAATTCACAATGAAGGATATACAGAGGTTAATTGGATGGATTTTAGTTCTTTACCTTATTGCTATATTTGTCCCGAGTGACTTCATTGAGAACTTACATATTTAACCGTTGCGAGGTTTAGGAGTTCCACAGCAGGTGTCTCATGCTGGTCATTTTGAATTTATACATGATGAATCCTTAAGTCAACATCACAATCAATTTAAAAGTAATAAGGGTTGAAAAAAATACCATATTGCATGCAAGGGCCATGTGGCTGGTTGTTCCACTTACAATCCACAATCTCCAAAATGGGTGAATGCTTTGGCTCATAATTCTGGGAACCTTGGGGGTAAGGCCATGGTTCCACCTTAGGAACTCGATCCCTCTGTTCCTCCAAGGGATCTTAGAGGGAGCTGGATTTAGAGAAATAAGGATCTTGCTCAATATAAAATGGGATCTCGGCGGTGTGCATGCTTGAAGAGCTATTCTACTAATTGAACTACTTCTCCTCTCTTTAGTATTATAGATTTATTTCTTTAGAATATGTTAAACTGTGGTGCATATCACATCATGGTATACTTGAATTATGGTATTACAATTTAATATCACAGTAATTCAATTTATAATATTATTAAACGGTATTATTGTAATAAATTGGAATACCATAATTATGGCATTAGCAATAAGCTAAGGTGAATGATAATGGATCATGCGGGCATTGGCTTGATCCTAATTTTATCATATACTATTAATTGATCTTATTTTATGTATAATTGAGCTTAGATCCATCCAAGTTAAAACCTCAACCCTAGTGACATGGGATCTCGCTCCGAGGTTTCCTAGGTTCTAGCTCCTTGACTTGTTGAACGTACGAATCTCGATCCTAAACCCAGGGAGCTTCCATTCGATGGGGTTTGACGTTCCCCAAACCTATCCCTCTCCTGAATCAGCTCCCGCCTCCAACAACTATGCTTTGGCTCATCTTATAGATCTTTGATATCTCTTCCTTGGCAACCTGCATTGCCTCGTAAATATGACCCATGGGTAGTCCTGTCTCACTATCCACCATGTTCAAGACCTTCACTAAAGCATTTACTTGGAAGGAGTAGGCCACCTCGTTCCAAAACTAGGGTTGGAAAACAATATCAGACACTCTTCCCCTTTGCATGCTTGGACCACTTGCTCTTGGCCCAGTCTTTAGAGAGAAATATAGCCTCCCAGAGGTTGTCTTTTTTGGGCTAATATAGACTAAAGGGATGAATAAATAAGTGGCAAAATTTGTCACCTCTGGCCTCACCACTTCATCTATGCACTGATCTACTATACTGGAAATGATATTTGCGTTATGGGTTTCACATTCATCGGTGAACTTTGAAGATATTGTCCCAGTGGACCAATTCATCATCATATTCATGATATTTCTCCCCTCGTAGCAGTCCATGGAGCGCGGGATCGAGATTCTGGGGCGAAAGCGGACCCCTAGATGGAACTATAAGTCATGGAACTCGCTCCCTTCCCCTAATCGTGTACGAAGCTCGCTTCATTGCCCAAGGAACTTCGAGCTCTACTCACTCCTCGCTCTCGTTCCCGTTCCCATAACTTCTCACGTTCCCGTTCCCGATA